TCCATCACATTCCAAACCTCCCTACCCTTGTTGGTTTTGTAGAGAATGGCATTTTGCTCAACAGCGTCTATTTAGGAAGCATGTTTGCAATTAATGCGGAAGAAGAGGTTATAAAGAGTCGTGTTGTTTAACACGTGGTCCTACTTCGTCCAGAAGGAAGCGCACTAATTTCCCATCGTTCAGACGGCCCGATGGGATCAGAACGATCACTGCGACTTTAAAGTTTGATGGCGCAAACAGGCGTAAGTACAGCATGGTGTAAATAAATAGCAGGCAAGTCAGGTTAAAAATTGATACGCCTTCAGATATCACTCCGATCTCCAGCGACACATGGTGCAGGTTAGGGCGACCGGCAATGGAACAAGGGTTTTATACGGGTAACAAAGCTAATGCTTCATATGTCTCTTAGGATGATTATGGTGAAAACAAAAAAAGATAAAACAAGTGTTAGCAAAATTGGGCTTACACTAGTGAACGCACTGTAGTTTACGTAGTGTAGACTGCAAATCAATATGAAACGACGGCAAGTGAGATGTTGGTAAAAATGGTCCTCTAGTGTACACATAGAGGAGGTGAGAAACGTGGAACGAAGTCTGTGCTCTGACCACCAGTAAAATCGCTTACAGACACTTGTGTTTATCCAAGGGTACTGGGCCGTGTAACATGGTGCAGCGAAATTGCACGATCAACTCGGACTTTGAACTCTCCCAGCATAGGAGCACATATGAAAGATTACGGTAGGGCATTCCACGTACGGCAAACGAGTAGGGAAAAGAAATTCCGACGGCATTCCAAGCGACTGTGTTGCTCTTCCAATTTGAGATGGTGACCTCTCTAATGGTCGTTGTGACTGAGCGTTAGTAAGAAGCGGCACCTGTGATTGGAATCTCTCAAAATTTGGTGCGTCAAAAGGAGGTCCCCGCGCAATTGCCGATACCGTCCGCTGAAGACCCCGAGCACGTGTAGCCTTCGTTCATACGGCAAATTATACAGACCCTTGATATTGTTGTTTGTCCCGCGTTGAACTATCTTCAAGACGGTGAAATCTCTACTCAGCCATGGCTTCCAGACCTGTATTACGTATTCCACATATGGCCGTAGGTATGAGCAGAGTTGTGGGAAAAGCGAAAGGTCGAATCGTACAAATGCACGCTTCAAAAGGCTTACATGTTGGATACCCCACTTACACGTCGTTTCAGCCTGCTTCGAACATCCTAGGTCGACCTGGACAAAAACTCCCAGATCCTTCTCGCCAGAAGGCGTTTGAAGCTCCTGGTTGCCGAGTTGGTAGGAATGGACCAACTTGTGCCGTAGGTGCAGCACTCTACATTTGTCCACATTGAATCTGAGTGGATTCTGGGTCGACCACGCGTATACCCTATCCATATCAGCTTGAAGTACTGTGATATCGTCTGGTGTTTTGATCGCCCTCCACACCTTGATGTCATCGGCATAAAGAAGACAGTTCTAGATTCTGATGCATGTGATATCATTAATATATATCAAAAAGAATCACGTTCCTAGTACCGATCTCTGCTGTACACCGCACTCAATTTGGATGGCATCGGACAGCGAATCACGCACACGTACTTCCAGGTGTTGGTGTAGAAGAAAGTTTCCGATCCATCCTAGGAGAGGATCACCAAAGGTCTGGAGTTTGAAGAGCAGAATATGATGGTTTAATCGGCCGAAGGCCTTTGAGAAGTCAAGGAAGATTACATCAACTCCTGTGCCAGAGTCTGTTACTTCAGATCAGCTGGATCATGCTAGTAGTAGATTTGTAGTGCACGATCGATTTCGTCGGAAGCCAAGTTGTTCCGGTGTGAGGTAGTTAAATTCTTCCAATTATGCGATTAACACGTCAGAAATAATAGCTTCCATGACCTTTGAAAGAACCCTCGTACAAACGACTCATACGGTAAGGAATGCTTCAGGTGACACGTGAAAACCGCTTAATGAATTGAAATGTCGAGTTAATTTCCGGGGCCAACAAATCCACACAGCGTGTTTTGTGACAGACCAAACGGAGTTAGATTTGTTTGGACTCGACTAGACGGAGAAGTTGAAAATACATGATCAGTCAATAAACACGGTATGCCAGACACCGCAAGAAGACCAGTTGTCGCTCCTACCAATACCAAGTCCGATAGTTCAAAGCCAGATAACGCAAATAGAAAGGCACCACGAAGCGATGCTCCGACCTGGTCCAGAATGCTGCAGAATGATCAGTGCTGACCTGAAGGTTAAGCCAGTCCCTAAACCAGTATCAAGAGCTGAGCGCATTGTGCCAAGCGGGAAAGCAAAGCATTGCAGCTATCATGCGGGGGAAAAAGCGGACAGACAGCGTGCGTCATTGCAATATTGAGAACACGGTGTAGACACGAGACTTCCGAGGACTGAGGAGGTTGTCGACAAGAAGAGTGATCTACAAAAACGGTCGAGTCATCCACGAGAAATGGGTCAGGCATGCCAATCAGCTAAGGCCGAATCACGACAAGTCTCAAAGTCCCTCCGAACCGCAATCTTTACCATGGGACATCTTGCTAGACACGTTTTGTTTGGAAGAGGAAGCTGAACGGCTACGTGGATCAAAACATAAAATGTAAGAAGTTGATGACACACAATGCAAGCCGACCACCATGGTTGCAAGTTGAACACAAAGTGAAAACCTATGAACAAAGTCGAGTTCGAACGGTAGGATGGCAAACTCAATTCGAAAGGAGAGGTAATTAAGGCGTAAACGGAGCACATAGGCTATCTGCTACATGCAAAGGTCATCACAGCACTGGCGTGCTACCAGCCTTCACCTTTTCGTTGAATTCGGGAATCGAGTATTGATCGGCCAGCAAATACAAGCCCGCGTCAAAGGAAGCGAACTTTTTCGTCCATGAAATAAACCGTAGAGCGGAATTCACCCACACTGGCTGAAAACCTGACGCAGAAGAGTGAGTGACCTTGACCTCCTAAATTAGTATGTTCCGTTTACCAATAATTAGAGTTAACCTATGCTGCAGAAATGCACTCAGGCTACCGAGTTCTGACCTTTTGTATTCCTTCGGTTGGCTGCGCGCGTGACTGAGCAGCCAGACAGTCGCAGTCTCATAGAGCAGCAAAGCAAGCAGTTCAAGAGTTGTCAGTGGCAGAGAGGAAGAGGCAGCGTTACAACAATATCATAACTGATGGAAAGGCAACGCTCTTTAAAATGATATGCAGCGTCAAGTTAATGGAAATTTATTCAAAGGCTGTTAAAAGTAAAATAGCGAAAACCGCAGTAACTTTATTCGCAACCTAGTAACTTAAAGTAAATCGTGTCGTTAAAGCCCGTTGATAAGTCACTTTGTGCTTAGGTATTAGTTGTGTAGTAGTTACGCTGGACGACGTAATCTTTCCAGGCATACCATGCCATGCTGCGTTTTGAATCAAGACGCATCTGAATGTTTTAATGCACACAAAAGAGGCCAGATTGCACGAATAGATAGCCTTAGTTCCTGATGCATCAGCAACCAGATTGTTAAATTTGCAGGCGAAACTTTCGCAGTCCTCGTTTAAGAGACTCAAGCTAGCCGTTTCAACCAGTCGAGCTAAGGTGTCGTAGCGCGTTATGGTCCGGTTCCTTTAGACTGGGGCGATGTTCTCTGAAAGCAGGTTAGCAAGGTTGGTACTTTCCTGATCGATACTTAACTGTGTGAACTAAGATCAGCAATTTTGGGTCCTGGAGTAACCACCGTGTGTCTAGATTGAGATATTCAATCTCAGTTGGGACCACGGTTCACTTTGGAGATGCCTCAACCGTTTCAATCACTAGAAGTGCACCTGAGGTACAGTTTTGAAGCTGTCCTCTTCCAACAATTCATCCAAATGCTGGGAGAGAGCAGCAGCGAAACTCTCCTCCGAAACCAGCCACATCGTTCGGAAACCTTGTCTTATAGATTCCCCTCGTTCGCGACTATTGACATCATCATGAGCATGCCATCGATCCAGAAAGGTTCAGGGGTATACTCTGGTAATGAAGGCCACTCACGATTGATTACAAAAACGGGTATAGGTAGGAGTGCAACAGATTCGCATACAATATCCATGTTAAAAAGGAATCATTGGCGACGGTGATCCGGACTTGAATGTCTAGGAGCATGGGTAGTTATGTGGAAATACCAAAAGTCAAATAAAACTGAATGAAGTCCATGTTGAGTCCCATTGTTCGTGGAGAAAGTGCGCACTGCCCGTACGAACCTCCACACCGTGATAGTCTACAATCAGGACAGAAGTAAAGCGTCGATTGTGAGGCGGTTGAGCCCGTTAACACGTTGCACGTACTCGAATACGAGATCAAGAAATCTAGTTTTCCTGATTCTGCGGTTTCTTGAAACAACTCGAGAAGGCATAAAGTCGGTAATCAACATAATGACCTTTTGTACACAGCGCTCTGTCGGTTTCACAGATTTAATTTTCCGGAAAGTTGATGGATAAGTGAAATATCACGTGGAATACGCCACTTAGGCGCGTCATCCTTCTCAGTAGCAGGATATGTTGCGCGTTATTCCACATCGAACGTTATAAAAAAAAACGCTAAGTTCCTCCTTCCTCCTTAGGAACATAGAGCAATTGACACCAAGCCAGGCAAGATTTCGTAATGCCTTGCCGCATTTTAAAGAACCCCAACCACATTTGGCCCCCCTACTGGAACTCAACCATGACCCCCTACTCAAGAGGCTATCATCTAACGTTGGTCAAGTAGTGCAGCCGGATCAAATGCCGCAGAAGCTTCTCCCTTTGAATGTGCCAGTCGTGAAAGTCCATCTCTGAGTACGTCGTTTCTACCCCAAAACGATATTTGAAAAATGGCTTAACGACGCATTCCGCCACATAGACTACGTCGTATAATTTGTGTTGGCCAGGAGGCTACAAAACGCGATCAAACGGTGTAATCCTGAATTCGAATCTGGTGGACCTATATTTGTTACTATGAGATCATCTCAGTGAGCACACCAGCGCGCATTTGATGGTATTTGCACATGTTTCGCTAATATTGTTGTTTACATATCGATCATACTAAACAACGGTGCCGAAATCACCAGATCTAATCCTCATTTCTCAATTCGCAGTTAGAACAAAGTGCAGGAGCAGACTGCGGAAGTAGGACATTATCGGATTCAATGAAAAGGATATTGCGGCTAAGGGCTTAGATGATAACATGAATCCGAGAACATAAATCGTCAGTAAACGATGCTTAGAAGCTGTGTTAAAAGTGGGTCGTTGTGAGCTGCTGAACATCAGTAGCTGTAAATGCTGGGTAGTGTAAAGGATTTTTGACAAACAAGACATTGTGTGTGAAGTATCATAAATGCGGTGTAAATGACGGTATAGGATCGGATGATTGAAGAGACGACTCTTGTTGTGCGAGTACAAAATTCGATGTATCTGGAAGTGTAGGAAGCTGTCGGTCTATTAGTTGGACTGTCAAATGTTCGGTGAAAATCAGTGAGGCATGGTCGACCAGTGTTCATGTTTGTAGTATTGAGGTAGAGGCACCAATTAGAGAGGAACGCTGTGACTAAATAGTGTAGTTCCGCCGTGCTTCAGTTTCGTCATTTTCACTAGATTTCACGATTTTGATGGAGTCCAAATGAAGACGAGATGAAATAGTAGAGGTGGAATGCGTAGCCCATTCGGTCCGATGTGTCGAAGCTAAACACCAATGAACCTGCATCGCGAAGTTGCGCATCGCGAAGTTTAAAGAAACTGACGTATTAGCGCCGGTGCTTTTGGTTGCTTTATGAGTAGCGGGAACCGGACACAGCTGAAGTGCAGGGAAGGAATGATCTACTATTAGAGAGAAGAAATGCTTGGATCCTTTCCGTATTGACTGTCGGCTGTGAGCTCTTTCAGTCGGCGTTCCTAGGAAGAAGGGAAGAAGGTAAAAACAAAAGCTTAAACTGCCCACAAATTAGGCGATAAATAAATTGACAACGGAGGTGATGGGTAGTAACTAGAATAAGCATCCCATTGGTTCGTTCCTAGCCAAATGTTTGTAATGATGTCAGGGTATACAGAGAAGAAACTAATGAAGGAAAAACTCTGTAGACGGGAGAGTAGATTTAAGTAAATAAGTTAAGAATGTATATTCTTGATTTTACATGAGGCACATCAAAGAAGGCATGGGTAGAGGTAAATTAGAACCAGTAAAAGAGGGGAGAGGAAGTGATTCAGCAAGACGATACGTTTCAATTATGTGCTAAGTGGAACTAGAAATGTTGGAACGTGCAAACTTGATAATAAACACGCGCCGTATTATAAGTTGGAATATTCAGAGTTTATAAAAGGGACCAATCGTCAAGGAACGTCCGACTTAACGAACATAAATACATGATATTGTATCCGGTGTAGCACAAACTTGAGATGAAACAAACAGCAGATTTCAAGTTAGTACCCGCAAGAACCTCGCGTCACACATCGCAAACGGAGCAGATTGCCTAGTTTATTCCGGTAAACAGTATATCTCAAGTGTTACGAGTCAAGCAAGCTACGCAGATGCCAACAAGGAACCCTGAATTGCGCAACCAACTTGCAGATCTGAGGCGACGCCAAGAAACGTTGTTCAAAACGGATCTCGGATACTGTCGCTTAGCCAGAGCGGAGCTGTACCTCAAATCAGATACCAGACCAGTCTGCAGCCCAAGACGCCCGGTGTCGTACGCAACTCAATCTCTAGTGGAAGCCGAACTAAATAGTTTACCACCGGACGGATAAACTATTCGGGATGGGAGACACCGATGATGGGGGTAAAGAAAGCAAACGGACTGAGTCCTGTGCTGGAGACGCATCAGTACCCATTGTATGTACCAGAAGACTTGTGCTCCAAACTTAACGGTAGTAAATGCTTCGCAAGACGTGACCTAGCTGACGCTTACTTGCAAGTTCCAATTTTCGAAGAGTGCAGAACATTACTAACGGTTACTACGTAACTCAGGATTTACCAGTACAACCGGCTGCCATTATGGGTGAAAACCGCACCGGCCATCCTGCAGGAAATTTTGAATACCCTGCTGAACGATATTCCCAATACCGCGGTCTGAATATATATATATATATATATATATATATATATTTGCAACAGTCTACGAATAGACTTGGAGTCATCAGAAACCATGGGACTCAAAAGAAGGTACAGAAATAGTAAAAAAACAACGCAACGAAGTCCATGGTTTCGTTAGAGGGCGAGATACTACCCGCTTGCCCGAGCCGAAGTAGGGTGTTGACTTAAGGGACACCACCTCGAGCCTTGGGCTGAATAGCCTGCCCGCAAGGCAGCAGAGCGAATACAGGGAATCGCGCCAATTGGAAGCCGGTGACTGATTGCTGAGTTCATACGCCTCTCATTTGTTACTTTGTCAAACAGGGGCCTAATGCTCCCCAGAATTACAGCACAAAGCTGTTGGAATACAATGCTTCGCCAAAGGGGAAGCAAGGGGCAGTGACTGTATACAGCGGCGTGTCAGGTCTGCCACGTCACAGTGCTGTTAACAAGATATTTGTGGCTTTTTATAGAGAGAACGCTTGCCAGGCGAAACCCACCACGTCCTGGAACAGTGACAACGAGGCATTTGCTGGAACGGGAAAATCCCGAACCACCCAGCTGGCACCACGAGGTTGTTCGGCAAGCCAGCCTGGATGATGCACTGATGATGGGCGCAGACCCGTTAGACTTAATGCACACACTGGAAAGAGTGTCTGCAAGTTTGGAAGAAGCTAAATTTCGATTATGGGCTGAGAAATTGAGTTCATGTTAGATGGCGTGAAATTCCTCACGTTTATCAAAAACCAACATGGCCAGCGCCAAGATCTCGCTAACATCGAAGCTATCAAACAAATGGAGACGGAGACGTCGCAGAGTTTCGCTCATTCTTCGGTCTCGTGAGCTATTACAATGTTTTCCTACCAAACCTGCATCATATCAGCTGCTGACGAAAGATGGTGTTTGGCAATGGACGAGGGGATCCCAGAAGTCCTTTGACGCAGTTAAAGAAGCACTCACTTCTGATCTACTACTGACAATCCGAACTTGGAAAGAATCGTTGCCTAGGACGCTTCCAATTACGGTATCGGCGCCGTTAGCTTCCACCAATTTCCGGAGAGAATGATAATGCACATGCAGCACGATCCCTCACGTCAGCTGAAAACTATAGTCCGATTGAAAAGGAAGCATAAACAACCGCTTTCGCCGTACAGCGGTTCCACAACATACTCTATGGAAGGCATTTCATCCTGACTGATCATAAACCATTGTAGTGGATATTCGGCTCAAAGGAACTTCCGTTTTTCCCGCGAATCGGTTACAAAAATGGTCGACTATACTGTTGGCGTACGATTTCAGTTTACAACATAGATCTAGGCAACAAATCGGCCAAGCGGACGCTCTGTTTCGTATCATCATTTCGCACTCAAAGGAGAACGATGACTGTGTGATTGCGGTCATCAAGTTCGAGTCAGAACTCCAGCGAACCCTGACGGATAATGTAAGAGGATTACCAGTGACAGCTGACACTATTCTTGCGGAAACTTCCCGAGACAGAACCCTAGAGAAAGTGATACATTACGAGCAAACAAGTTGGCCAAAGGTGGTAACACTGCTGACTTGCGGCTTTTGCTTAACCGACGTGGGTCACTGTCCTTTGTGGATAATCGATTGATGTTTGGAGACCGAGTGGTGGTGCCAAAGTAATTGCACAGGCGTCTTACAGCAGTTTCATACTGGGCATCCAGGTACCAAACGTATGAAAACCTTGGCACGCAGTTTTGTCTATTGGCCCGGAATGGAATCAGAAACACAAAAATTCTGCCAAAACTGTGAATCCAGTCAACTGGTGGCGAAGTTTCTTCCCAAGTGCCCCGAGAAACCTTCGCCCAAAGCAGAGAAGCCATGGCATTGAATCAACCTAGATTATACAGGACCAATCGCCGGTCTTACCTATCGTGTTTTCGTAGACTCTTTCTCCAAGTGTCCTGATGTGATCCCGATACAAAGCCCGACTGCTCAGCACACGAGCTGGATAAGCTGTTCCAGTATTTCGGCTTGCCAGAGATAACAGTGACAGACACCGGTACACAATGGAATGGTACACAAAGGAATTCAGAAGATGTTCTCACCAATCTACCGTTTATAATCAAACGGACAAGCGGAACGGTTCGTGGATACCGTTAAACGTGCTCTTTGTAAAGCGGGATAAAACAAGATTCCGCAGGACGCGATCCAGTCTTTCCTGTGTATGCATCGGAATGCGCCAAACCCAAACGCCCAAGATGGAAGAGCCCCTGCCGAAAGTTTGTTTGGACAAAAGATCCGGACATTGTTCGATAAGTTTGTGCGAAGTAGAAAAGGAAAGCATTGCAGTTATCAAATAGAGGAAAATCTGACAAACAGGCTCCGACATTTCAAAATTGGTGACATAGTATACGCGCGGGATTTCCGAGGACCGAGGTGGTCGACAAGAAGAGTGATCCGCAGAAACAGTCGAATAATTTACGAGAAATGGGTCAGGCACGCCATTCAACGGAGGGCGAAGCACTGAAATATTCAAGATTCCCCAGAACCGCCATCCCTACCGTGGGACATCCTGCTAGACACGTCTTATTTGGAAGAGGAAGCTGAACGGTTAAGTGGATCACAATAGAACTTGCAACCATCAGATGATACACAACGCAGACCGACCGAAAGTGGAGATAACTACAATGACTACAAATTGACCCCAAAACAAAAAGTGATGAACGAAATCGAGTTCGAACAATACAATAAGTCAACCCAAACCATCAGTTTGACAATGTGATACGTACGTGATGAAGTATATCTTTTTGGGTTACTGGTAGCCCATTATACTGTGCCACTGTTCCATGCAGACAAAACAGTGCCATATCTGTAAAGACGACAGAATGAATGCTTCCGCGATCCAAAGATCAGCAGCAAAATTTATGCCGCTTCTCCAGGACCGCTGATGTTCATACCCTGTACTTAAAGTGCATCGAAACTGCGAAATTTTTGTTCGTTTAATATCCGGTGTACCGCGCGTATCGGTTTTTTGTCACAATACTGTGCTATCCGACGAATGCTGAGATCGGGACTATCCCATACTTCAATGATTAAGGCGTAAGCTGTAGCGTCGCGCATAGTGATGCGAGGCGACCCGGTTTTCGACGTGCTGCATGCACTCTCGGTTCGCTCGAACGACTTTACTGGGTTAAGCACGTACCGGATGGTGACGGGACGCATTTATGAGTTCATAGCGATGTCTGCCGCGCAGTTGCAGCAGCATTTAATCCACATTCACCATACAGCCGAATAATAAGCACGCGCTGACCAACAGGCTTGTTACGTGATCTCGATTGCAGATAAGTAGCTGAAGGTAATGTCTGTTCGTGCTCCATTACCTGAGGCAGTGCTACAATGACAAAGTGACAAGACTTGCGCTGGCTAATATCGCCCTCACCTAAGCCAAACCACCCGGTTAGCCGAAATTCATATCATTGTGCATGTGCATTTCACGTTGCCTAAGTCGACTTGGCTGGGTAGCTTAGTGATTCGCTGCCGCTTGCGTTTCGCATGGCTGTTTAGCTTCACCCAGCGAGACACACCGATAGCCATCGATCGTTCCAATGCCTACGGTTGGTCATGACCCGCACTCAGAGAAAAGTTCGCTGACAGCAAACGACTGCTGGATAGCGTAATGTAGCTGTAGGTCCTCATCTCGCTTGACGATAAAAAGGCTAATGTGGCCTGCCGGCCTGTCCCTCGCCTGCACTCAGCTGATCCCAGAACTAAACCACTGGTCTGTTGAGCATGCCATGTCCTCACAGCTAAGATTAGAGAGAAACTCATGGGTCTGCATGCGCGCACCATAGGCAGTACGTCAGTCTGCGCACTGCCGCTAAACACTGAATGGCTAACGAATGGCGGAGACAAATATCATAAATGAACGGCGTTCACCATAAAAGTGCGCTGCACTGCGTTCATGAACCGCACCACTCATGCTGGATTTCGATAAGCGGCCCTAATCCGTTGGACTTACGGTATATGCTTAAATTAGTAAACTCATCGTTCAATACTACCGGATGTTCCCCTTGTGTGAAAATACATGTGTGTTCCGGGGACAGTAACTGCGAGGGAGTGTAAAGCAATGGTAAGTGTTGTGGCGCTCGCATAGCTCCGCGAAACTTGCGCAGATTTCAACCTCAGACATACTATCATCAAGCGGGGACTCAGACTGCGCGAGTAACAGGCGAGTCATCCCAAGAACATTGATGTTAAGCCACAATGAACCAACTGAGCTCCACTCAGCACCTTACGGCAGTTACCACACAAACCCACAATGACACTAACTGAGTTTCCCTCACGACAATACCGCTGAGTGACGATTCATGATCTTGCCAACAACCACCTTCCCTTATAGTTTATGCATCACACTCGCACCGTCGGGGAATAAAACGTTTAGTTACTTACTTCTCTTATATTGAGCTAGAAATATGAAGTATATATGATATGTTTCGCCTTGGCTAGATCAGTAAAAGAAATCTTTTAAACGGTCAGTCTTTCTTGCTTGTTTGGGTCTCAGTGTAGTCGTGCTAGGTTACACGCTTTCATTTCCAGTCTCAGCTCGTATGTACGTTTGGCGGCTAGGTCACGCTACCACGTAACGTTCCGAATGCGATTGGTTATTCCGCGCGCGTGGGGTAGTATATATGATGAACGTTCATCCGTTTCGAATAAGAGTCGAAACAAATACAACGCGTTATAAAACGGTAAGCGTTGTTGTTTGACTGACCAGCCACAGATTGCCAGCATCAGAAAACGTAACGTAAAGTAGTGACCCAGATCAATAGGATGACGCGGTTTCTTTACCAACAGAGTTCTGGAGTCGGTAATAGTATGTGCGCTGATAAACCCGTGAAGCGGGTTACTGTAAAGGAAAACAAGCCAATGAGAGGAAAGGATGGCTGGCGGTGGCGTTCAGTTGGTTGTTGATATCAAGTAACCCGTTCCGGGATAGAGATATCGTTCCAGGTCTCCGACCGCCATATCTCTATTCAATAGCCAGGCTCACAAAGTAGTGGGGTAAGTGGAGGTTTGCTTGAGAGGCTTTATCTTAAACATCTCGTTCAACAGGGCAGTGGCAAGCAGGTAATCTCTTGTGTGACTACGTGGTCCCCATGGGAGATTACTTGTATCAGGCCACAGACTTGGACGGCTAGGCAATGTGTTAGAATGTTTACAGAACTACGAAAACTGCAGACCTGCCAACAAGGTCAACTAGTCGTGAGTTTCGGCAAGTGTGTATCAAAGTGACCGCGATCTACTTGAGCAGCAGTAAAAAGGTTGTTCCCTCCAGTTTCATGGGCGACACGTGACACTCGTGCTCTGTGCTAACCAAACTAAGCGTAAAATTGTGAAAGGTTGACTCATATATTCAAGTTTTGAAGGAAAACCATTGATCTCTTCAATCTGTAAAGAGATGGAGGCTGATAATGAGTTTGTCTGACTCATTATCAGCGACTTATCTGGTGTGAGTGGATGTTACCTTCACTGGAGTGTTATTTAGGATTATGGAAGTACGCATATTATCGTAACACACTAAAGCTAAGGCCTGTTGTGAAAAGTTGTTCAACAAAGACACCCAGTAAAATCGGATTGTTATAAATGTCCTGGTTGGGTTTCGACTGTCCTAGCCGGAACGGACGAACTCTTCACTCGTTATTCCCTGCACGCAGAGTAGCCTAGACGATTCTTATTGGAACAGGTAGTGGATTTATCCGGCTGACGTGAGCTGGTAACTGATAAGACGGACGGAACGCGTAACGCTGCGCGACTGTATCGAGACTCGCAGAAAGAAGACTGGCCAATAGTAAGAGTGCTTCACTGACTCAATCAAGCCAAGCGTGCTTTCTACACCTGCATATTTATAGTTCATTAAAACAGTAGCAATTGTATAACCTATAAGGGAAGACCTATGCTTGTTGGCAAATGGATTGCCATGTAGTGGTCCTATCTCCGGGCAGAGATGGGCGGGTTCGAGGCTATTGAGACGTTAGGCTCAGCAGAGTTGCTGAGTGTGCTCGGTCGCTAAGGCATTGGCGTGAACACGGCTCAAGAGACAGACGGCTGACTTGAGCAGAATCCAGGAGGTACGATAGTGAGACTTGGGCGAGTGCAGTAGAAACTGTGCGGGATGCGTTGGCCGTGTTCTCACTGAGGACAACTCCGTTGTGATCTGTGCAGTTGAGTGGACCCTTGGCGGCAGTTTCCGTAGAGAGAGCTCCGCTCTGAACTGGGGAGTTTGATCTCTGCATAGCGACCGTGTTGTTCGCGCCCGATGGTGTGCTGACGCCTGTGAAACCCGGGTGAGTTTTACAGTGCTGTGCCAACTCTGTAACACGGATGCCTACTAGATCTGTCCCCCTCTAGCATGACAAGTCGATCAAGCAGTCCCCGAAGATTTGAACATTATTTAATTAGTGCAGATTTTCTAACTCAAGATACAAATGGACAAATGGGTGGTGAAATCCAATTCCACGTGGATACCTTATAATAGTAAAGAAAATACTGAGCGATCGCAATCACGTATGCCGCCAACTTCTGAAACCCATTCAAACAATAGCAGGAAAATAAGTCAACAATACAGTCGTCTAGATTGCCGAAGAACTTCTTTTCCATTCGGGTCTTCCAAACATGGAATACTCTTTCAAAGTCGGTTGTTTGTGCTCCAACTTTCACCATTTTCAAAAAACGTTTGAATATGGCACTCAGCTCCTTACACTTTTTAACATGAGTGAATAATCCGTGATTTAGTCTGGTGAACTGGCTGTTGGGAATTATAATCCACACTGACAGGTGAGCAATCCCACTGGTTGCTGTCAAGAATGTGGAAAAATCCCGAATGTCCCATCCTGTGATATCTTCGTCCCGCTCAATGATCCCCGGCTGTGAGTCTCTTGACCATTTATCCAACAATTATCCTTAACCCAAACCAATCTTGGATTTTCGGGCTCTCAATGTATATTAGGTGTTCTGATGTGAACTTAATTACATATTGAATTTGCATTTGGCAATCTGGATGACCTACATTGGATCGCACACGTTGACCCACTTTTCTAAGTTCAGAACAAACAAAGCTTCAGATAATAACGTCCCATGTGTTATCGATGCACTATAGAATGTTTCAATATCTACGCCTTGTGTTTACATTACCTCACTTTGCAAGAGTAACCAAACAATAATGCATTGTTGATGTGGGGGGAGATTACACAATGAAAGCATATGGTTCGTGCAGCTTACAGTTTTGTTCCTCTTCATGTGGAATTGAAACTGTGTGTAATGCACAAATTCTCAGACGCCCATGGCTCAGGGTAGCCTCCTTTTATGATTGCTCTTACATGTTTGTTTTAGGTCACAGTGCATTGAGACGATTGCATCTATACGTGTGGCTTGAAGCCATACACCTGTGGGCTATTTTAGATTGTTGCTGTTGTCGATACACCTGTGCCGACTTCGCTGTTGTTCATTCCGGTGGAAACGAGTTAGCTGAAGACTTTCAAACGGTTTGTCGCTTACAATACTCCACATCAAATTCTTCACTTCGGAGTGAAGAGTCGATTGCCGTGCACAACAACGGTCATCAACAACCCTTTGGAGTTATAATAAGCACTGACCATAATAACTTGTTATTTACATTTTGCACGTCGTTATCTCATGCTCACAACCCTACATCTAATCAGACGTCACCCTGTCGCTTTATCGATGAGAGTAGTTTATTTTGTCCGCACGGGTAGTTTTTAAATTTGCTTCTTTCCGCTTACCAACCGATGGGACCTGTTAAGCTTACACATCATCATCATGGCCAAACGATGGAGCATTCCAACATGTGCCACCTAACTCTGTGCATGAGGACATCCCATAGGTTTAAATATGTGACGATTGATCTATCACTGTAGAACAGCTTGATTACCTTAACATTTACCCTCCAGCGGGAGATAGCATCTACCGCCAGTCTGGAATTTCGCTGTTCCAGCCGTCGTCGATGATTGCACGCGATTTCCACTAGAGTGATGAGCATCCCGGTGGCAATGCCCATGCCGATCATGATGAAAACCCCGGCCATATTGGTCAATTCCAACGTGGCCGGACTGGACTCGGTGTGCGCGCAGCCAGCCGAGTCCACATCTATCCAGCGCGAATCCAGCTTTTCCATAATCCCACCTGTGAATACACAAATGAAAGTGGTATGGTGGAAGAAAAGTAAAGGTGACCGGGAGGCTATTTGTGACTAATGTAATAATAGTAATAATAATAATAATGAATAATAATGACCAATAGGGACCAATGGGTAAGAGCAACAACAGAGAGCGCATCAGTAACTGCCCGATAACTGGCTGGAGGGTGAGGATTAGGCAGTTTCAGCAAGACAGCTTTGTTGTAGTCTTCCATGCACCGCAGCATACTCAATCTCACTCCACGGAATACTCAGTATTAGACAAACCTTAAACAGGAAACCCGAATAAAAAATTCCAAAAGAACCATTGGTACCAACCACGGGCTAAAACATACGGCTTATTGACTCGAATAGGTTCTGTAGATTAAAATATGAGGGACAGGACAGACCAACAACGCCCCTGTTAAAGATCAGCGATTCCAACTCTGCCATGCTAACGGTTACGTCGCCATTCTAGATTAATAAGACCAAATACACGGGTAGTACTAAATAAGGAAGTGTGGAGTCGTAAACTGTGAGGTGACACAATTAATTCCTGTTTTCTTGTTAATCACAAGCATGAAACAAACGAAAGAACCTACTCCAAGGGTCCATTGGTGGCTCATAAGGCACAGTTAACTGTTTCTACCCACAGGACAACGGGCGCGGCTCTCCGCAGCACAAGGATGTGGAGCCTGTAGTTGACCGTCAGTGGTTACACAGTCCGATGGGATCTGTGACGACGGAATCCGACGAAACAACAGACCGAGATGCGGCGGCAATTACAAGACAGTGGCTATTTCTCTGCGCATGAAAGCAGACATGATTCTAAGTCTATCAGGTTAGCGCGAAGCGCACTGGTTGGCCACTGCTATGTCACCAACGGATTCCCTGCGTTATTGTTTCTACATTCCGGATCGTTATTTACATGTTAGTAGCGAATATGAATGGGTCACACCACATCTTAGGTCTGCTGATTATATTATTTGAGGCAGAAAACGTTGTGTTAAGCTGTAATAAATTACACCAGCAAACAAAAGTAAGACAGTGGAGAAATTACTGGAACTAAATTCGACATCCGCAGCTGCATCGGTCAGGCCGCCGCTATTGAAACCGCTACACTACGTGATGATTCATGAAATGTTGGCCGGATGACACAGTATAATGCAATGCAATGTAATGTAATACAATATAACATAACACAACTGCTATCGAATGTAGCTGAAATGGCTAAGGAGATTTAAAAAAAAGGATTTGGACGCACTGCCTTCCAAACGCTAGGACTTTAGGGTGGTCGATATGAGGGAAAACGAAAGGTTTCATTTGGACTCAAAGTACACATGAATGAATCACAATATGAATGTCGTGAATGTTGTGCTCGTATAGTTAGATAAAGTGCCCTCATCACTTACCCGATATAATTCAGTGCAGTCGTTCCGTTGAGACGAGTGGACTCTTTCTCATAGTGTTCGATTATACACTTTCGTTTACTAAAAAGTACTTCCTTTTGCATATGTTCACAATGAGCGAAACGACCGACTCCCAAGATATGAGCTCGTCAGCCGAATCAACTTTCGCCCAGCTGAGTTTGTGGTGTCGGTGACGTGGAGACCGAATCCCTACCTTCGCAGCCAACGTTGGAATGAGTGAAACTAGTACGCAAAGAGGTTATTTGGAAAGGAACCATACAGTATAGACAAGGTATCCGAAACTAGTGACTGCGCAGCTAGTCAACAAGGTGCTCTGTACTGTAACAGCAAGACATACTGTAGCGTATGCCACAGATCACAATAAAAAACTCGAGGAAATGAGTAGCAGCTAAGCTAACCAATACACAACCGGCCGACTGATGTGGGTCACACGGAGGTGGTCAAAAGTGCAGTGACAAGCAAGAATGCGTTTCGAGTCGAAGCGAAGTCAATGACGGACAAAGTGGAGAGTCACACTTTGCTCGCTCTCTCTCTCTCTCTCTTACCAGTGTTGGAGGAAGCCCGCAAACGTCGCTCAACACTAAGCACACCATCATACGCCCTCGCTGCAGCCTTTGTCTCAGAGTAAAAAACCGAAAAACATTTGGCGCGCTGTTTATCTTTGAATCAGTGCTTACTCCACCTCCTCCTACCCAACCTGTAGAGCTTCGATCGTGCTCACTAACAGAGGAAAAAAGCGGCCAGAGCTGAACGGTTAATTGCAACCTTCTTTATCGAGACATAATATGCACACGACACACGCCGCAAGATGACTTTTTGATGCAGTAATACTACTCGCTATTAGTGTATTGCTGTCCAATAACAAGCGACATCAATGCGCACATCGATAGACCGCGCCGACAGGATGTGCAGGTAAACCTATTAAGAAGCCGAAACAACGAAAAGCAATGATACTCGATAACGGGTGTCCGTGTTTACTGAAATCTACGTGAAGCACAATAATGAAACAGCAACGCCTCCTAAAGGCAACAGAGTGTCTGGGATCTGCATAAGTCAATCGTTGCAAAAGTAGAAAAAGACATATAGAACAACCAACGCAAACACAGTTTTACTGAGCAGGCCTGATGCGGTATTACCCACAGTTGGAGAACTAATGGGCAACAACAACAACAAAGGAACAGCATTTTCTGACAAGCTGGTTGCTCTCATTCATGAACTATGCCACAGTTGGACAAAAGATGGTGTTCGTTACAGAGAGATCACATTTCCGCAATCCGCAAGTCCCATATGACACATTACGTCGTTCGACAAAAGATCGAGAAAGTGTACTTTTGTATGGTGCTCATTGTGGGTTAGGATATTGAGCCAAAGGCTCCGGGCGGAGTTCCTCAAGCAAACCTCCGAACAACATCCGCCACCTCATGTGCGATTGCCCACCAATGCAATCGTATGCCTGCGCGCAGAACACTCAGCATCGCATGCCGGAACGTGCGAAAACTACTGGACCGGAACTCCAGTGAGCGCCCCGAGCGAGGCACTGCACTCCTCGCGATGGAGCTGGCGCGTTACCACATCCATATTGCAGCGCTCAGGGAAACCCGGCTGGCTAAGCAAGGTAAGTTGCATGGAGCAGGTGCTGGCTACACATTCTACTGGGTGGGCAACGCCGCCTCAGCCCCACGTGATCACGGGGTCGGATTTGCAATATCCGATCGCCTCCATGGCCAGCTGGTGGGTGAACCAACAGGCATCAGCGCGCGACTGATGACTATTCGCCTACGACTCAGAAGAGGTAAGTTTTCCACCTTTATAACCACGTACGGTCCGACCAGGTGTTATCCTGATGACACGCGTCATCAGTTCTGCACTCAGCTATCCTCCGTGATACGGTCTGTGCCGAGGAGCGACCGACTATTTCTGCTGGGTGATTTCAACGCACACGTTGGGCATGATGCATCGGTGTGGACAGATGTTATCGGTCCGCATGGCATTGGTTCAGCGAATGCGAACGGTGACAGGCTGCTCTCACTGGGTGCCACTCACGGCCTGACGATCACAAACACTCGGTTTGCACTGAGCGCGAGTGATATAGCAACTTGGACGCATCCACGGAGTGGTCACATTCACCTGCTCGACTATGTCATCGTACGTCAGCGTGATATGCGTGAAGTGCGCATGACACGTGTACTGCGTGGAGCTGAGTGTGGCACTGATCACAAATTGGTGCGCACCAAACTGCACATATCTTTTCGTAAATCTATGTATTACACTCCCGCCGTGAATCGGCGTAAATTTAACATTCTCTCCCTCGGTACTGTGGCGAAACGTACTGAGCTGGAGAAGGCGATGGCTGCACGCATGTGTGATGTGCACTGCATAGCCACAGTGGGCGACCTGTGGCACTATGTTCGCGACCAGGTGACAGCTGCTGCCGAGGAGACCATCGGGCGCGCAAACTATAAGCGGCCTGATTGGTTTGACGAGAACGGTGTGACGATAAGCGCATTGGTGTCGGAGAAGAATGCAGCATTTGCTGCACATGTGGCAGACCCCAGTGACTTAAGGAAGAATAGTCAGTTTTGCAATCTTCGACGACGACTGACCCGAGAGCTCCGTCGCATAAAAATGCATGGTGGACGGAGAAGGCGAAACAGATGGAATGCTACGCCGAACGTCGCCAATACAAGGGATTTTTTGACTCCTTGAAGGCGGTGTATGGACCGAGATTGGAGTCGCTGAGAACGCTGATCGATGGTAGTTCAGGCGCTACCTGCACACAGACTGCAGACATAATGCAGATCTGGCAAAAGCACTTTGACTGTCTCTTGAACAACCGTTCATAAATCCACTGGTCTGCTTTGAACGGCCTCAAGCAGCACGATGTGAAGGCGAGACTGCTGGACACGTCGACATTGGATGAGATGCAGAGCGCACTTGCTCAGCTGTGAAACCGCAAGTGTGCCGGGCCGACGAGATCCCGCCTGAAGTATTGAAACACGGCAGACCCGCGTTAGCGACTGCGCTGCACCACTTGGTGCAACGCGTGTGGATTGAGGCGGAGGTGCCTCCTCAGCTGAAGGATGCTCTTGTGCTACCACTGTACAAGGGGGTAAAGGGAACAAGAAATGTTGCACGAATTATCGTGGTAGCAACTTGCTGAGTAGTGTGGGCAAGGTGATTGCCCGAATTCTGCTCAACCGCCTCGTCAGTCAGGTTGTGGAACCCAACGTGGCGGAGGAGCAGTGTGGATTCCGTTCGGGTCGCAGCACAATAGATATGGTGTTCGCAGCTCGTCAGTTGCAAGAGAAGTGCAGAGAACGACACCAGCCATTGTACTCGCTTTTTGTTGATTTCACCAAGGCATTTGATACGGTGAAGCGCGAGGCACTGTGGCTGGTGTTGGGTAAATTTGGTTGCCCGCGTAAGTTTGTAAGTTAAATTGAATGTCTGCACAGTTGTATGCGGGCGAGGGTGCAGCTGAGTGGAGAGACCTCGGATGACTTTGCAGTTGTCACTGGTGTGAAGTAAGGCTGTGTCTTAGCTCATGCCCTGTTTAATATATATCTTCATGTAATGATGTCTTGTGCTTTTGATGCGGCTTGTGCTAACGGGTTTCGTGTGGAGCACCGTATGGATGGTGAGTTGCTGAACATCCGTCGTGTCGGTGCAAGAACTCTAGTCTGTGAGACGACTATCCGTATATTGCTGTTTGCTGACGACTGTGCGTTGATTGCACACAGCGCGGATGAATTGCAGCACATAACTAGTGTTTCTGCTTCGACAGCAGCCAAATTCAGATTCACCATCAACACATGCAAAACTGCTGGTCCTCTTCAGTCTTCACCGAAGGTGAAATCTACAATAATACCACGAATCATCATTGGTGCTAAAGTATTAGAAACCACTTCACTCATCTGTTGCCTTGGAAGTGAGATGTCGACTGAACAGCACGTACACGGTGAGCTGCGTAATCGCGTGTCTAATGCAGCAGCAGCAGTCGGAATGCTGGAGTACCGAGTGTGGAACAACCATCAGCTTACCATTGGCACGAAGCTGATGATGTACGAATCCATGATGCTGTCCGTTCTTCTATACGGCAGTGAAACGTTTAAGATGTGCTACCGGGATGTGCGATATCTCGAGCGGTTCCATCAACAGTGTTTGCGACGGATTCTACGCATCGGATGGAGCGACAGAGTTGCGGACACGGAGGTGTTGCGACAAAGTGGGATGTATGCAGTGGACTGCATATTTTTACTGAGACACCTGAGGTGGATCGGTCATGTGAGTCGTATGGATTCGACGCGGATACCGAAGCAGCTATTATATGGTCAGCTGATTATTGGGAAGCGGCGTGTGGGGAAACCAAAGTTGCGTTATCAGGACATGATCGAAGTGCGCTTCTCACGTTCTAATGTTGATTACAGGTCATGGGAATCGAAGGTGGTTGATCGGCGTGCATGACGCGATCTGATCACGAAGGTGGTAGCCGAAGGGCGGGAGAAAGACCTCATGCATGCAGAGAAGAAGCGGCAAGCACCGATGGGTTGTACGCCATCGACATCGAGCACATGGTGCTGTAGCACATGCGGTCGTGAGTGCCTGAGTCAGGCAAGCCTAGTGAGCCATGAGCGAGGCCACTCGGGACCAGCACCGAAGCAACGACGGGTCCTGCAGAGAAGGTAGGCAGAGCGGGCGCAACGTCTGTAGGTACGCTGCGTTCGATTTACTAACCGCGTGCATGCACGTTGAGTCGCTTTATTTCAGGTGGTAGGTTTACAATTTTGTCCTAATGCTTTTCTTTCTCATCTTATTGCCTATCTGTATTATCTTCTATAAACTTGCACACGTCGATGAAGCTAACTGTAGTTAACTTCCATAAGATTTTCGCGTTTGTGGTATTTCTTAAAATATATTTTCTGACGTCTTGCACTTATCGCGGATTCGTTCGTAAACAATTTATTGTATACGCCCATTTAGTGAAGAGTTATATCACCGTATCTGTATGCATTATTTGAATTCTTTTATTTCATCTTGTTTCAAGTGATTGGCTGTTGCTTGATATCCCCGGTGTGGCTGCGCTTGATGTGCATGTTGACAAGGTGCCAACCTGTCTAGTACCCACTACCTCGTCCATACTGCCTACAGGAGACAGTTGGTCGTTACTGGAGGGTACGGGGTGCACGGTCCTTGTGGCCGTGTTAGGATCAAAGAGCGGTTCCATGCACTCAATGTGGAGCCGACTACGGTCCAGCCACCGCCTTGTGTGCGCTTGATTCCCCAAATACAGCGTGCTTGTGTTTGCCTGTGAAGGAGTGTGGGCCGGCTCCGTTGATGAAACGTGGCTCCCATCCACATGCCGCCCGGTCTTATTCCTTCTGGTTTACACTGGATATGGGGTGTGTATGGAACTGTGGGTGGTGCACTGCAAGCCACCCATGGTCCCGATATAGGCGCAGGCGTCACTGTGACTGGCCACAGTGACAGAAAAATCCGAAACCGTATGCCACCAACCATTGGAGGTATTCGATGCTTGGGTAGACACCGAGATGTATTATCATTTCATAATAAGCTGCTGTCTGCATTGGGGCTGCATTTTGTTGCAGGAGAGTATCTTAACAAGACAGATAGTTTACCTCAGCCGAGAAATGATTCTAACCATGTGTGCAAGTCTTGGGGCTCGCCAAATTTTGAGTCTACTTACCCCACAGATGATGAGTTGCTTGTACTGTGATCGAGTACTTTGCATGCGCATGATTATAAGCCCAAAGGATGTAGTCAAAGGGACCTAGTACAAAAGCCATAATGTTGTGCTACCGAGTATGTGGGGAGGGGGCTTCGACTCTCATAGCAAGCAGAGGGTAAAGTACAGAGATGGCAATACATTAAGCTCAAGCCTGGATCGTAAAATAATATGCGCACTGCCTCACGAAAAATCGAGTAACTTCGTAAGGAAACAACGGAAGAGTAGTTAACCGTATCTGCTAGTACCAAGGTACGGCGGCCCAATGAATCAGAGGAAATCATCGCCCTATCCATTATTTAAACTGGATTCGGTGCACGAGAAACAAGAGGGAACTCACGTTCGTGAAAGTTCAGAACTGCTTGGGATAGCTCCTCTAACCATGGATTACCTTTCTTCATCGCTAGTCCATAACCACTGCGACCGAACACCTCCCCCGCAGTAACCAGGTCGCAATGCATGGCTGCTTCGTAGTTCAGACGAGCCGAATCCCATATGAAGGCTTTCAATGTTCCGGCTTTTACTGCCTGGACGGCACAATGAATAGCACGATCACCGAGTGAATGGAAGACAAAAGTGAATGAGACATTCTAGTGGTGGGAACTAAGTGTTTGCTGCACTCAAGATCTCCAGAGTAAAATTGTGGACCCAACCTCAGAGTATGCAAAACACTAGACCCCGTTTAAAAACGGTTAGTCGGAAGTGTAGTAACTATGTAGGTAACAGCAACATACTGTTCCACTTAATTGCTAACATAAACATTAAGGAATACGTGCAAGTACTGGGAAATCTTAGCATTATTAGGGCAGCTCATGTGATATCAGTTCCCACACCGGACACGTGGGGTTTCTCGTGCAAAGTGACGCACCTCAACTGCTTCTTCGGCGCTCTGATAATTGTGTGATTCCATCACTCGATACATGGTGGCGTATTCCGTTTGGCGTTTAAAGTACATTTCTACCGGACTGCCGCGAACCGTGGCGAAAGGGAAATCTTTTTGTGGAGCACGGAGCTGTGAAATGAGGTGGAGAAAAGTGCGAAAATCGTTAGACTGGCTAATGAAATAAGGTGGAAAAACCCACAGAGAGTACTAAATCGTATAGGTTAAGGTGAGTAGAGACTTTAAAGTGTGTTGCCGCAGTGTCAGGTGAGTGGTGCTTTTCGTTCTCATACTTAAGCTGACACAGACAAGAAATGTTTCAGACATATCTGTTGGTAATGCAAAATCCAGAGGTAGTCCATGGATGTTCACAATACAGCCATCTATCGGAGAAGCGAAAAACCAACATTTCCGCGCTATGAACCGGGGAGTTCAGCCGTATCCCTCCCTGGTCCGCATACTTGGAGCTAACAGCTGAGATGATACACAGAGGTAATAAACACTAAAATTAGTCCCAATCACCCATTTTATAATTCAATTCCTCGCAGTAAATCAATTAAGATACCGGGACCCGAGTGGGCTATGTCACCATAATAATGTATTAGAGATGAAAACAAGGCAGGAAAAGGGAACATTTAACAGAAAAGTGCGGTTAAAACTGGTACATTTGGGGAAACCGTTGGAAATTACGGATTAACCGCGAACGGCGCTGTCACAATGTTCATAACTGTATGCGGGCCGGTCAGTGAGAGTGGTCACACAGATATTAGAACTAAACCAAATATCAGGCGAGTATAACCGCATTCTCTCGTATTCCATGATGGAATAAAGTGCGCTAAACAGAAGGTTACCAACAGCCCCATCCTCATGGATATTGTCCGAGCTGTCGAACGTGGATTGGTGTAGTTGCGATGCTCGGTCACGTTCAACTCTTACCCGCATGTCGTCGATGTCAGAGATGGACGACTCTGGCCTATCCAGGACCAAAAAGGCTGCAAGATTAGCAGTGTAACTGGCACCGATGATCATTGCAAAACCAGCCCAGACCATTCCAAGCGCGCGAGCACTGAAAGAGCGCGGAGTGCCCTCCCCGATTCCGGAGTTCAGTAGTACACCCCAGGCGAAATAGATTGCTGATGTGAGAGTAAGTCCCTCCTCAAATTCAACCGAAGAGCTAACAGAGTACTCGGATTGAGGTGTTATTGGATTCAATGCAACCTTTGGTCTTCCATTCCACGCTGCTTCAGGTGGAGGCTCACTGAGTTGCGCTCTGTCGGGTGACCCAGAGGTCATGACCCTCGTGGGTCTAACAGCACCAAATGGGGAGAAGCGATCCAACAGATAAAGTACCCAGGCCACGGCGTGCACGGAGAGGGCGACCAGTACCCACAGAGTGTTCTCAAATGGTTGTAAAAATGATCCCAAGTTGGACTTGGCGCGTTCCTGTAAACAGAAGGAGGGATAAGTGTATGAAAAGTCCGAATATTTAGCGAACTGGGGGGCGTATAAAACCCTCTGGTTGGATTATGGCAGATTATTGCAAAATGGCTCGACTGGTGGTAACAGTCCTGTTCAATCATTTCCTGTAGGTCTTTCCAGTCAGGAGTTCAAGTAACTGATCTGTGTAATGGAATTCAAACTTCAAGTGAGGTACTTCACTTGGACACCTGCGAACTATGCAAAGCAATCTAAATATATTCTGTTGACAGCGGCTGCAGAAAACGGGCTTGAGCTATAATGAAACTTGTTGTGAAACTGCCTCTGACACCTATCAAAACGCCTTCAGCATATACGGCACATGGATTGGTGAGTAGTAAGTCTGTAAGGCTGATTTAAAAGCGAACGCGCAGACAACTTCCCAATGGAAGCTGTCTAGATGGCCAAAATTCGTGCGTTATAAAACACCGGTGTGTTAGGTTGTACAGTAGATGAAATCACCGAAGTGCTAGCGAGCGCTTGACTGGGATTAGTTCGAGTTTCGGCTTTACAACAAAGCATAGTCGATGGTGAAAGGCAGGTGGGATCTGAGAGACAGCCAACTCCCATTCGAGTGTGTTGGATGGGCAACATCTACTCCGAAGAACATCCATCCGGACATCACGGGCGCAGGCGCATCTGTAGCCCATTGTATCATTAGGAGAAGTTTATAGGCAGAGCTCAAACAACCAATTTCCGAAGGCTTTCTGAAGTGACATGGCTTGTCTTTCCATATATATCATTTATTTATTTAAAAACCCATAATAATCACATAGGTTGCTGAACGTGTAAAGCATGATTTTATTAGATTATTGATGGTTACTCCAGTATTTTTACCGTTAAATAAGGTGGAATAAATGCATGGTACTTTTGTTCGCCTCAATGATTGCGCACTACTGGCGGTGGACGACGTCATCCGCGGAACATGTCACATGGTCTGGTTCAGTGAAACTGACACTCAGCGTGCTTTCACGCCTACGTAGTCAGTCTTGCGACCACAATGTGTGAACGGTTGGATAGAAATAACGCGAGCGTGACAACCAGTGCTCGTTTTCGGCGAGGGAATGAGATATTAGCAGCCTCCCTTGTGGAAACTTACTTCTGGCCTTATCAAGGTGGGTTTACAATAAGCTCGCCCTGGGCCACTTACGGACGAAGCTATGGAAGTTCAAGGAGTGCAGAAAGAAGAATGTTTCTACAAAACGGGAAGGAAAAGTTGAGGGAGTGGATGGACATGCCAGTAGATCGCCACTCACTCTTTTCACTAAAATGGTGAGACCCAAATACTTGAATGGTTTGGAGAACTCCACTCGTGCAGCACGTTCCGGTGTTATTGCAACCGGACCGACGGCCAAATCGGCCACACCGGTGAGTATCTCGCCCACAACTCCGGTCCAGCTTCGTGTGTCGTTTTCCACAACTTCCTCTCCTATTTGGCCGTCGCCAACCAAATGTAGTTCGTAGGCGAACGGGGTCGGATTGACCTCCAGTCCGGTCCGGTTGGCCAAAAGACGGAGAAGGTCAACGCAGAAACCATAGCAACAAAAACGCTTGATGACTCCTGTATAAATGCAGCGAGTAAAAAGACGTATATATATATGGTATCCCGTGTAACCAGTATCTGTAGTGGAGTTGTAATTCACCAGATGACAGCTAGGCAGGGCAAAGCAGTGGACCCGGTACAAGGAATCAAAAGTCCAAAAGGCGTAGGGTAAGCGCGCTAGACGCAAAAATCATAGGGCACTCACCTGTTAGTGGATCTGTGTGAGTGCATTCCACCTCCATCTTTGGTAACCAGGGATCAATGGATTCGTTGCATTTTCGATCCGGAGGTTTGGGTCGTGCATGCACAAATGGCACACTTATTGCAGTGACCACCTGAAAGGGAATGATAACTCATGTGAGCGGGATACGAGAAGGAAGAAGTCATCGTACAAATAGACAACAGAGAAAGTAGACAAGGGAATAAGTGATGTTTGCAGTGTATTTGTATAGAAAGAAGAGGCACTCGCACTATGACGATGCTATGGTCTTCTTATCCGGGGTGGTGTATCATTGTGACTTTGAGCAGACTTCCATAGACTTTCTAATTGGTCCGACTCTCCTAGTCGGGATGCATTTCCGCCGTCAGTACACATGCGCAGAGTAGCCGAATGAATTTGGATCGGTATGGGGATAAGAGAACTAGCCGGCAGACGTTGTACACGCGAAATGAGACTGCAGAGGAAATGTGCAACCTTACACGACTTCACCGAGACCCAGGAATGATAGGTGGACTACAGGCCTGCGGCGACAACTGGCTTGTCAGTGGCGTCGGTCGCTCAGACCTACCAGCTGTTTGAGGTAACTACCACGCTTCGAAACAGTTCATCGTGCTGGCCTTGATACTGAGTAGAAACTATGAATGAATTATTTGTGTCAATAATGGGCTCATTTGGCATCTGAGCAAGTATACCAGCAGTAAATTAAAGTAAACATCCAATTTCAATCATCAAGGTATATGACACACTTGTCGGTGTGATAAACTGTTTGTGGTTTTGCACTACCCAGGAACTTCAAACTGTGAATGTAAATAAGTGTCCAAGGCCTGGTTGAAGAAGTCATAACGGACATTTACAAAAATTAGATCAGAAAATAAGAAGAATGAAAAGCACCCAGATAAGATTTGTATCCACCAAAACTGCTGACTTGTGATGATCTCTGCAAACAGTGAAGCGTCTCTTCCACCGTCCTCCACACTTTCCCATCATTTCGGCATGTTCAAGGCATCGGCAAGACTCTCTTGACATGTGGAAATATTCTTCCTAAGTGAAAGTCAGTTCATGTGGTGGGCATCGAAGAGGCGTGACAATGACTGACAATGTCCATTGGCAAACACGCCATTCGTGAACATCAACCGAATCCTGTGTGCGTCAGAACGGTGACCGAGCCGCCGGCGTGCCGAACGAAGAGTTGAAGTATCGTTGTTGTTGGCTACTCATGAGTAGCTGAAAAATAGTGTAGTGAGGATTCTATAGCATCATCCGTGGTGTTACCCCAGGGCGCAGCAAGTCCAGCCAGGGTCAAGTCAAGAATGGGCTTTTCTGCACCGTGACGTGTGCAATCGACATGACGAAAAAGCAACGCAGAAACGACAGAACAACATCTAAAAAAAAGCTTTAGGAGAAACATAGTCTTACTGGTAGTATTTACCGGCCATGTGTTGAATAATAGCGTTTTGACCAAATAGAAATATTGCTAAGTAATGACCGACGTATTATAAGCTTTCGTGCAGGTATATATTACTCTATACCTTTGTTTGATCGACGATGGATAAACAGTTGAAAATTACTTTGTAAAGAGGGTGGTTAACGTTAGAGTATTTTGAAGCAAGTTTAGTGCATGAGCTGCTAACGTAGGTGGATACAATTGTTTTTGTCAAAGTTGGCAGCGGGACAAGCGCTTCAGTTGCCTGTCAAGCAATTGGAATTGTTTACACAACAGGCGTGGGAAAATCAAAGGAGAGCAATAAGTCCAGTGCGGGGTAGAATGCATGCAGCGATGAACTTCAGAATCAAATTGTATGGTACTGATAGTGAGAAAACGCAGCGAGTAGAGGTGTCTCTGTGTAGTTACATCTAATATTCTTTAAACAATTCCTCCTATTATGATGGTGATAATTCCCGATACCTCAAGTCGGAAAAGAGTGGGTCCAGGAGTTTCTCAAAGCTCGACACCGACTTCGCTTCGACTATCTCTGCAGGCAGGTTGTTCTAAATATTCACCACCCTCCGCTCGAAGCAGATTTGGTGAGCGACCCGCTTCAAATCCGGTACGACAAGCTTGTACCGGTGTCCTCGTGTGCTGCTTGGTGAGCGCAGATGCAGCAGAGGCCTCAACATGGGATATTTGCCCAGATGTAATATCCGTTGCGTCATGATATGGTCAACTCGTATTCGACGAGGGTGTACATGGGTCTTCATATAGCCCACCTCGTAAACCAGGGATGAACCATGTGGCAACATGCTGTATCCGCTCAATTCTTTGCACCTCGCCTCGACTGAGCGGACAGTAGGCGGGTGAACTGTACTTTAGCATTGGTCTGAGACCGGAAGAGGAGAGGTGAGTGGCAACCTCTTCGGATCAAGTACAGAACCTGCCTTTGAGCGCTCAGAGCATGCGCAGTCCGTTTTGTTGAAGTCTGTTCGTGTTTTCAAAGGATTTCAAATCGCACCGTGAGAGTATCCCGAGATGTTTCACGAATGGCGATGGGTGCAACTGTGGGCCGGCCAGATTGTAGACTCGGTGATTACCAGCCTTATCCAGGCTCATGAATACCGACTTGGCAGGATTGATCGGAAGGTTGACCTATGCTGACCAGATGGAGAGACGGTCAAGGTCACGCTGAAGCAGGTCACAGTCGTCGGGCGTTTCAATTACCCTCCATACCTTAAGGTCATCTGCAAACAACGCACAAGATGAACTGAGAAACTGAGGCAACTCGTTGATGTGGATCAGGAATAAAATGGGCCCAAAGAATGTGCCATGCGGGACGCTATTGGTAGAAGGGTATCACTCGGTCAAGTAGTTGCCCACCTGCACCCTCCACGTCCTACCAATAAGGAAGTTACTGATCCACTGGCGCAGTGAGCCACCAACACCGTACATCTCCAGCTTCCGTAGGAGGATCACCTTGTCATCACCTTGTCAAACGTTTCACTGAAGTTGATGTAAATGACGTCAACTGACTTCCCTGGTTTAGCGCTTGCTACCAATCGTGTCTCGAGAGCAGCAGGTTTGTGATGCATGACCGACCTTTAATGAAACCATGCTGCGCAGGTGTCAAAGTGATTTTCGACTCGGGAGGCTGCAGAAGATCTCGCTTCACCATCTTCCCCGGTGTCTTAGCCAAATAGTGGTCAGGCATATCGGTCAGTAGTTATCCACCTTCCTCGGGTCGCCGCCTTTCGGAATCGGTTTCACCACTGAGCATTTCTAGTCCCTCGGTAATGAACCAGCGGACAGTGCCTTGTTGAACAGCTCAGTCATCGAAAGCGAGATGATGGCCGATAGTGATTTGAGGAGCAGCGGATGGAGCCCAGCAGGCCCGGCAGGCTTGGTACTGTTAAGACTGGCGAGCAATTTGCGCACATCCTCAACAGCGCAATCCAGGCTGTCCAGCTCGGTAGGGGCGGTATGCATTGAACTAGGCACGGACGCCTGGTTATCTGCGAAGACGGAAGCGAAGTGCGTCGCCAATGCGGAAGCACACTCAGCGCTGGAAATTATAGGCTGTCCATCCGAGCCCACCAACACAGACACATCACCTGTCGGCTTCAAGCTCCGTTCCACGTATGCGAAGATCCTCTTGGGAGCTGTTTTCGCTACGGTTGCAAGCTGCTCTTCGAAGTTATGGCGTTTGCTCGTTTTTGCGCTATTGCAGGCATTTCGTTACCTCTTGTACGTCTCGTACTCCTCGGTAGAGCCGGAGTGTATGAATTTATTCCGTAGCTGGCGTCGTCGTCGAGCCAATTTGACGTACTCATTGTCAAACCAGTGTGGCTTGACTGGTCCAGATTTCCGATATCTGAGGGCACACATCGGACACATAGTGATTTTACTCCCTCCTTTATGATAGACCAACATGCTTCAACTGATGCATTCTGTGGTAGCGACCAGTCCATCAAGCTTGCGGCCCGAGTAAGGCCAATCAAGTCCGCCTTCCACTAGCTGAAGGCTGGCTCCAACGGAGGAGTAAACAGCAGTGGTAGTTCTGAACTCGCCATTACCATCGAGTGGTCACTCGCTCCCAGGGGCTCCAAGACCTGAATGTCATGCACACGTTGCTCACAGCTGGTCAGCAACAGGTCCAGGCACGATGGAGTCGAGCGCGCGATAACCCGCGTCAGCTGAATGATGTGCTGTGAGACTCCAGTTTCAAATATCATCTCCGCGAACTTCGTCTCGACTTCGCAGTGGCCGGGGAAAAGCTCGACCTCGGCTCACCGTATTCGGCGGGGAGTTCGCCGCCACTCAGGTGAATCCAACATCATAGATGTTCACATAGGAGGATCGCAACCAGGCGACGTAAAACGAAAGTCGCCTGATTTAAGTGAATATTTGATTCATATAGAATGGCCATGACAAATGGTGGCTCAGTGTAATTCCAAGATATTTCATTGACGTACAGGAGCTCAAACTGTCATCTTCAATCGGAAGTTTGAGATATTCTATGACAAGTTCTTGGTAACAAGTTGCCTTATAAAGTAAAAAAAGAATGTCATTACACCTGGACGTGTTCAGAATCAAGCAGCGGGAGTTTGACCATTGCACTAGTTCGTCTAAACAACTTCGCAACTTGGCTAAGGAAGCCAAGATTTGATGAATCACGCCAATGATTAAGTCCCTCTGTATATTTTAACAGAATGGTTGCATCTGAAACAGGTATAGTGATAAGGTAAGTAGACAATAACGATAGTGAGGATGACGGCAGACAACCTGTCAGGTCCGCATGTCTTGCTTGAGTGTAGCTAGGTTAGCTTCTTGTGCAATGATGTGACGTCGATAGAAAGCAGTGAGTCCGTAAACCATTGAACCGGTGCAGAAGATGTTCGGTGTCCGAAGTATGTAGCAACATCCCCACCAATCTTCATTCTCAGCACTTGCAATCATTAGTCCGAATTGTTTGTTGCCTACATTCTGGAGTCCTCAGTTAGAGACCAGCTGTCCTACACTTTCCGATATCCACTGCAGACACACAGCTCTGCCTCCTGTCACATCAAGTTTTAACTTAGGATTTCGACAGCATAGTGGCGACAAAGACACATCGACAATTTTGGCACAATGGAATGCCACTTTACATACGAAAAACGTACGCGTTTCTCGTCTGTCTGTGCCGC